CTGTGTCCGTTAATCTAAAACATCATGGAGTAACAAAATATAGTAATAAAAATATTAATAACAACAACTAAATCGTTAAACAATAGAAAATCTTAGCATCATGACATATTCCTAATGGTTGCTTCCAAGCAATTGTGGCAATGAGAGCAAGAAACAAATTCGATAAATATCATCGACTTATGCTTGGAGTGATTTCAAGGATTGCAAGGAACTGGCTACACCAACTGTCATGCTGCTTTAGTCGACAGCCGGCGCCCAGCTCAAGTAGAATACAATCACCGGGTCGATCGGAAAGTGATAGGCTACTTTGATGTTAAACATGAAAGTCTTCACAAATATGACCGACAGGTGGTTTAATTGCTGTTGGGAGCATTTGTCCAACGAATCCTGAAGGTAATAAATCGCGGATGACGTTGTCTGTCTCACCTGTAATGCAGGGGGAGGTGTGGCGTTATTTGGGTCACTGAGCGATTGCACTGTAACAGTGGCCGCCATTGTTACTGAATATATCGTAATTCCATGGCAGCTTGTTCTCAATAACATACTAGTATGTGAATAGCGACAGTATTCACAGTTGAAACCGTCCGATAATGCCGTCGGTTTCGGATAAAATAGATGCAAATTTATGTAAATAGTTTGGCTTTTTTGTTTGTTGTTAAAGGTCACATGCAACCAAAAAATCAAACATAATTAAAACACAATTATCACTTATTCATGACATATAATATACATTGCTGCTTACGAAAAAATATATAAACAAAATTATAAGCGTACAATCGCAAATCGAAAGTGCAAAATTGTGTACTTCGGTTTACTTCCCAAGAAGGTGTCCTCCCATTACGCAGACAGCCAGTTCGCAGACACCTTAAAACAACAACATTTACGGTTCAGTGAACAGCTTATCTACTACCTGTTACCTACACATTATAATGGAATAGTCCAAATAAAAACACAGGAACAAACTGAAGCTATATTATTTATTTGGAAAGATGGTCGAAAAGACAGTAATTTGAATTTTCATTGCTGCAATATAAAAAACAGTTTATTTATTAACAGGTTGTTTATTTTCATAAACATTTCGGTTTAACCTTCTAGTCTAACGGGAGTCGGTATCATCATATTGAAAACATTAGCTTAGCTATTAGAAATTGCGACACTGTTGTATCGTATAAATCAAATATAGATAAATGTGAACCTAAATATTATTCATTTGGGATAAAGAAGTTATATGTTTTGCACACAATATTAAGATATATGACGACTGCACTTAGTTACGATTTATTTAGAATAAATATTTAAAATATGACGCATCATGTCAATGTGGCCATGGATGTGAGAATGTTTTTCATTACCTCCTTGAATGTCCATTGTATACTACTCAAAGACATAAAGTGTTACAATCTTTAGAAAGTATTGTTTAAATTAGAACACTGATTGGTATTAATCGTATCTTACATGACAAAGCAGGTGTCTCATTTACTGCAAATAAGAATGTTTTCAAATATGTACATATCTATATCTCTCCAACAAAACGTTTTCTCAGTTAACTTCTGTTGTACATATGCTATTATTGGGAGGGGACGTTTCTATCAATAAACACAATCAAACCTCTCAGTGACAAACCTGTTTTTATATTCGATAGTAATTGATAGTAAAATCAATTTTGAGACGAGAAATCATTTAATCACAACAAAGTTCTATTTACCCACAATCAAACTTGTCAGTAACGAACCTGTTTCAGGCTCACCCTGCTCTACTCACTAGACAGTGGACTGTTCCATTATACCCGTAGGTGTTACCCTAATTAACCTTCTAGTTCAGTGTCTGTCAATTGGGTGTCTGTCAAATGGGTGTCTGTCAAATGGGAGATAACCCCCAAGAAACGAAGCAGCCGGGATACCGAACCCAGTCAGAGCGGGTGGGTGTGCACTCAAGTGTAACGGCTGGTTCATTTGCAGATGCCTTCACGGCTAATTGTGTGTATATATAGAGAGAGAGATGCTGGGTTTTGTTAATACATGCTCATTTTTTGTGTATAACATTTTGCAAACAACAGACATCATAACATGTCATGTGTTCAAGTATCACACCTGCCTGTCTGTGTAATTACATAATGTGAGAGAGACCGAACTCGGGCCATAAATCAATGCATTTTGTTTATGGTGTATAGCCTGATTGGTGTTAAGTTCAAATTGCATGTGGTCAGTGATCGCAGTTGTGTATTGAATATTGTCATTAGCAGACAGGCAGGCAGACACACAGGTGTCAATAAAACAAGACATTGAGTTTTGTCTGTGACAACGACATATCTATATCACAGTTAGAAATTCTGTCAACGCTAAATAATGACTGAGAAAGTGTCTCGGTAAGAAGAACGTGTGATGAAATAGACAAATGAAATTATATAAACAGTTAATTTACCGTCATAACATATAAAAAGCTCGCGCCTGTGAGATATCAAAACAGAACAAAACATTAGAAAAATAGCTCACACCAAAGCCTTCACCGAGTATTCACCCGTCAACCCGCTTCCAAGCTGCGCGAACCTATTTACTTGCGCACGTGCTATGAGCGCAGCCCAGCTGTTGAAACCCGTTTTCCCCAGAAAAGTCTGGGGAAAATTAGTGAAACGTTTGAACTCCGATTTCGCGCGTTTTTTTTCATCGCGTTATTTTTCAACTTTATAAGTTGAATTTGCATTTTTGACGATTTGTTTCGGTATGTCCGTACCGAAAGGTATCAGAATCTGCAAAGTTGTGTTTTACGTTGCATGTGACCTTTAAACGTTGCGGTCTGAAAATATCCGAGTTTGCACCAGACAATCCAGTGATCAACAGCATGAATATCGATCTTAAGCAATTGGGATACGATGACATGTGTCAACCAAGTCAGCGAGCCTGACCACCAAATCCCGTTAGTCGCCTCTTACGATAAGCATGGGTTACTGAAGATCAATTCTAACCCGGTTCTTCACGGGTTATGTATAACAGAAAATAACTATAACAGAAGATAAGCAAAGGTTAAAAGAGTCCATGTTAAACACAACCTGCCTCTAATAAAACTACAGGGTCTTAAGCAATCCGTTTAAAACATAATCATTTTACAGTTAAAACTTTATAAATGTCCTTTATAAAGACGAGTCTTTATTTCTGTGACAGACTATACGTATTTGTATTGTCCCAGAGGCTGGCAAACCGAAACTGTACGTCTCAGATGGTTTGGTGCTATGTTTGACTTTCAATAGAAAATATCTTAAGTTAGCGATACTGTCTTTAGTGTTTAGTGTTTAAAATATAAACTGTTTAGTGCTTTTAGTCAGCACACCCTGTTTAATTGTTCCACATGGTTGTATTTTTGTTAATGTAATTTGATTTAATACTTTGTAAAATAAATTGTAAAATACACATCTGATGATGGGTGTCGTAAACATATGGTCTTTGATTTCAGGAAGTTTGATGTTGGCGGCACAAATGTACACATAAACAAAATGGTACGTGTGATGGTTGCAGATTCCCTTGTCGGCATTGGACCCATATAGTCACAGAATTGACTAGCCACTGACTACTTCCAATTACAATAAGATCAATTATATTTAAACAAACTCAGTCCATGGACTTGTGCCCAGTGTACATGACCCTAGACCAGCTCTCCTCCCTGGCTGGAAATGCTATGTATACGTACTGACATTTGTTTATTCAGACGTCCGGATTAACGGGGTTACACTGTAGCATAATTCAGCGTCACGCTTTGTGATACTTAATGAGTGAGTGAGTGTGGTTTTTATACCGCTTTAAGCAATATTCCAGCAATATCATGGCGGGGGACACCAGAAATGGGCTTCACACATTGTATACTGTGCGAACGCTTTAACCACTAGGCAACAAGGGCTGATTAGGTTTGTTGATTGTATCAATATTCCATTAAGTGCAACTGGGGCGGTGGGGTAGCCTACTGGTTCAAGCGTCCGCTCGTCACGCCCAAGACCCAGGTTCGCCACTGATACTTAGTTGAAGCTGCTGAAGCTCTTAAGAAAATCAACGACGTTTTCATCGCATTTTACTTCTTGAATACTACTCATGCAGATTCAGTAAGTGCGACTCTTCAAATGAGTCAGTTTGAGGGAAACTATATACACTTCGGCGCTTTGTGGTGATGTGAATAGGTGAATTACTTACAATCATGTCTGCTTGTATACTGAGGGGTGTCAGTACTAATAGCTTTTATACATTATTCTACTTTTCGAACAGTTTTATTGTCTGATTCGGTCGAGTAGTGTGCCTGTATTTACTCTCCCTTTGGCAACACTTAGGTCATAAATACTCTGAATTTTACCATTATGCATTTGATTAAATCTCTTAAATACGGCCGGTACTAGGTAACAGCGTCCGGAATATGTAATTTTTACAGTGACGAATCATTTCAACAATTTCAGTTTGTATACGAAAGAGTGAGTGAGTGAGTTTAGTTTTACTCTGCTTTCAGCAATATTCCAGGAATATCACGGCGGGGGACACCAGAAATGGGCTTCACACATTGTTCCCAAGGGGTGGGAATCGAACCCCGGTCTCCGGCGTGACGAGAGATATAACATGAACGATGACAAACGTTGAAATGGAAGGGTAACGCTCGAAATTACCCAGGGCAGTTACACGAGAGTGAGGACATGTTGAAATTCGTCGAACCTGGGTCTTCGGCGTGACGAGCGAACGCTTGAACCACTAGGCTACCCCACCGCCCCGCATACGAAAAAAGAACACTGATACAATCAACCAGCCTCATCAGCCCTTGTTAGGGATGTGTCGAGTGGTCAGTACGACAATTGATCTAGCTATGATAATTCATACAGATGCAACAAGTGAGGCACAATGCTTTCAAATGATGGCAATATGGTAGAGATAGGCAACACCGTACGCTGAGTCACACCTTGAATGCAGTGTCTGTTTTCAAAAATATACGTTGATGCAAATCCTTCGCCAAAATGGCGAGTCAACGCGTCTTACCTTCGTCAACTGTCAACAAAGATGTCTCCGACGTCATGGCTATTGCTCTGTAACATTCGTTGTCAAAGTCGGCAGTCACGTGCAATCATCAGAACGCTGATTATCACTTCGCAAAGATAACGTTTATCACCTGCAGCAATTTCTCGCCAAAATAAACGTGTCGTCTGCTCACTCCATGTCAATTCATAAGCACTGAAGGACCCCGGGGTATTTGCTAAACGATGTCCGATGAAAAACTCTTCACGGAATAAATGAAGATTTTCTTCTTCAAAAGGGAAAGGTTTTTGATTTCAAATGTCGTCTGCCCAACCCACGTCTGCTCGCCGTTGCATCAACCACGTCTGCATAAGTCTCTAAATGTGTGACACAACCTGGCAAACTCTAATGTCCACTGTTTAACTATCTCCACACATTCTAAACGATCCTCACACAACGGTTCCAAGAAGACCACTGAAGGACGACGCTGTTTTCAACACTGACTTCTTAAGTCAAATAAATCTAAGGTCGCTCCCATTATGAAGATGACTTGAAAAATATATACATTGCATCCTAAGCAGAGCGTTAGAATCGTCCATGATGCCATTGATTGGAAGGAATAATAACTATATCCCACAGCTGTTCCCACAGAACGTGTCGTCTGCCGGTCTCTATCGATTCATGTGCATATAGATAGCAAAGTATTCGAGTATGTTATGCTAAAGCTTGTATGTACGTATAGATCATTAATATTTGTTCGTGAATCTGTTGATATGTTAATACTATAAAATGAGTAGAGTGAAGGATGCCTTAATTGTAGGTGGTTTTTTCTGTCAACGTGTCAACATTTAAAGGATAAATGAACAGGTAGTTCTATTCAACCTGGATAATTAACTGTTGTTCTGTGACTGTTGTTCTGGTTCTTATCAATGTCAGCATTGGTCCTTATACGCCACTCAACGTCATCAACCCGTTACAACACAATAATGTTCAATAATCAGTTCACTAGGTCTTAAGCGATGCTCAAAGTACGATTGAATATCAAATATAGAGTATAGTGAGTGAGTGAGTATGGTTTTACGCCGCATTTATCAATATTCCAGCAATATCACAGCGGTGGACACCAGAAATGGGCTTCACACATTGCACCCATGTGGGGAATCGAACCTGGGTCTTCGGCGTGACAAGCGAACGCTTTAACCACTAGGCTACCCCACCGTCCCCTTAACAACTTCAGAATGACGATGGTAACAACTTCAGAATGATTCGATGGTAAAATTAAATACTGGATTATATTCTGTTCAATATATCTCTGAGCTTTTCAGGAAAAATGAATGCAGTCATGTCAAATTCAATCGGAGACGAAAATCGACTGAATGCATAATACATATTTCAGAGTGAGTGAGTATGGTTTGAAGCCGCTTTTAGTAATATGCAAGCAATATCACGGCGGGTGGCACCAGACATGGGCTTCCAACCAATATTTTAGAAATGGGTTTTGAAAAATATACCGACATAGCACGAAAAACAAATAAATTACAGAACATAAAACCCGTTTATTCAATTAACTATACATTTTCATTAATATATAACTAATAATCTACGCTCGACTTTGACCGCCATGGTATTGTAATAGTAATCACCCCATGGTATACAGAAGAAATACGTATGCGATGAAAACTTTGGTTTTGTTCTCCATTAACGCACTGAATATCTAGACAGATGTGACGTACAAAAATAAACAAATAGCAATTCACGGGAAGCAGCGGCAAACGGCGTTTTGTTGAACCAGATATCACCATCATCATCATCATTATTATTTCTCGAAACCCCATCAACGGTGGTACATGAGACAAGTAGGAGCTTATGAAAACTATTCTAATATATTTTGCTAAGTTACGTAAAATGTTGGTTCTATTCGATTTGAGAAGGTTCGCCATCTTTAAGTGATTCGGCCATTGTTCATAAGGTAAGGGAGGTAACTGTTGTAAAGAACTTAATGTTATATAACCGCATTGATCTGTCGTGTTGAACAGACCCAACCACCGGTACATTGTTTACTTTCAGAGAGTGGACATGTTCCCTGACCTTTGTTTATTACCATGGTTGATATCGTATGACATAAATTAAAAACAGGAAACTATCAATTTTCTCCTCGGTTATTACATGGAGAATTACGTGTGTATAATGAGTACATGGAATGTGTGGCTTTACTAATGGCTTTCCCGCTTCGGTCAACTGGTTCAACCAGTATATTAGTCTACCACTGACGCTGAGTCACGAAAACAATATAACAACTGTCAAACACCGTTGTGTCGAAGTTAAAGGTACCTACATGGACACTTCGAGTTATCCAATGTTCGACATAAACGAGTGGTGACAGTGAAGCTTATACTTTGAGACAAACGTCAGTTCGACTCATTAAAGTTCGACACAACGGTGTTTGCATTGACAGTGATTTGGATTTTACGCCGCTTTTAGCAATATTCTAGAAATATCACGGCGGAGGACACCAGAAATGGGCTCCACACATTGTACCCATGTGGGGAATCGAACCAGGGTCTTCGATGTGACGAGCGAACGCTTTAACCACTAGGCTACCCCACCGCCCCTGTTTGCATTGAAGTTGAAAGGAAGACCCATTCTACCCTGCTACATTCAGGGCTTTTGCATTACAGAAAGCTCTGGTCGGAAGGAATGACAATTTAAGTCAGGGACTGTGAGACAAACCAACTCCTGCAATATGAAACCTTGGCGTTACACTCTGGCCATGCTTGTTTCGAGCTCGGGTAAGCTCGGTATATTTCGTGCCGCATTGGGTAATGCATTCAGCTGTTCACATAAATTAATATATTTTTAATACGCTAAGTATCTTTCACATGAAAGTTATTTCGTACGCAAATGACAGTCGTTTTTCACTTCATGTGGCAATGTTTATCATTGTAGTTAGAAACATGCGCGTTATATCGGGGTTCATGTTGTCGGTGTGTAATCGGACATCCCGTTACAAAGCGGAGAGAGAACGTACACACACAATCATGTGATAACGTAATGTTAGGCCTGAGTATGCTGGTGTAGGGCTGGGGTAGACAATATGTGTCAGGTTGGGTAACAGGAGTGGATAGTGAACAGATGTAAATCACAGCAGACATAGGTGAGTGAGTGAGTGAGTGAGTGAGTGAGTGAGTGAGTGAGTGAGTGAGTGAGTGAGTGAGTGAGTGAGTGAGTGAGTGAGTGAGTGAGTGAGTGAGTGAGTGAGTGAGTGAGTGAGTGAGTGAGTGAGTGAGTGAGTGAGTGAGTGAGTGAGTGAGTGAGTGAGTGAGTGAGTGTGAGTGAGTGAGTGAGTGAGTGAGTGAGTGAGTGAGTGAGTGAGTGAGTGAGTGTGAGTGAGTGAGTGAGTGAGTGAGTGAGACTACCTCTGAGAGAAAGCTCCATTTAAATCGATAAGAAGGGGATAGGAGATTCCGAAATGTCCATATTGCTGTCTAGAGTAAAATGTAAACATAAGATGTGCTACTTAATGCCTTAGACAATGAAAAAAGTTGGGAATGTGCAGATTTTGTTATTTTGATTCCATCAAGGTATGGTAATTTAGGATTCAATAACCTCTTTCAGGGTGTCAACACCTTGGCGAAGGAGTTTAGGGCGTGTGGGGAATGTGGGCCTGAGTACTTACTGGCTCATTAAGCTATTTTTATACGATACTAAACTTTCGAACTTCTCCGTCGAAATGCCCCATGTTATACACGTTTTGGGTTGAGGCCAGCACGCTCTTCCCTATGTTTAAGGATGGGTCACTGAATGAAGGTTAACCGCTGGGATATATGTGCTTCCATGAATAGTAGTTATTATATTCTTCATATGTTATTCATTCGACGTTTTATACATCGGAGGTTCCCGGCTAATAGATTTATCCATTATATGTAGACTAACAAGGAGATTTGTCAATAATTCCCTGGAACAGCCCTGCTAACTATTGTACCTGCTTTTAAAGATGAATAACATTAGCGGCAGATGTTGGAAATCAATAATACGAGGGACCTACAAACTGACGGACTCATCTGTTGCCTGCGGAGTGCTGTATTTACACTTGAACAACTGTTTGACTGGTGTGAGGGGACAATACTCAGCAGTATGTCAGAGTGTGAGTGAGTTCAGTATGACGCCACTTTTAGCAATATTACAGCACTATCACGGCAGGGTACACCAGAAATGGGCTTCACACATTGTACCCATGTTGAGAATCGAACCAGGGTCTTTGGCGAGGCGAGCAAACGCTTTAACCAACCGCCCCCATTATGATAGGAGAACCACGGTGTCCTGAGCTGGTAAACTAGTGGTTGACAGTATGAGTGACTAGCTGGAGAAGACATTCCGCCTGGAAATACATCACGGGACAACAGAGGATTACCGCTTCTCAACCCTACACAACCACAACCGACCCGCCACCACTCGACCAAACAAGCCCACTCCCGCACCAGCACACACAAACACCCCTCCCCGCACCACCACCACACGAACACACCCACCACCCCCCCTCTCTCTCTCTCTCTCTCTCTCTCTCTCTCTCTCTCTCTCTCTCTCTCTCTCTCTCTCTCTCTCTCTCTCTCTCTCCACACGACCCTCCAAACCCGCACCGTCACTCGACCCAACAACCGACACACACACCACCACCCGACTCCACCTCCCCACACCCCAGGCATCAGGGTCTGGGGGAAAGATGCCGCCCGCTCGCAGAGGTCTGTCCTATCTGTGTCCATATCATCCGGGCCTGATTCGTCATACAGGTATCAAATGTCTGCGCCAGGTGCCAACATGCTTCTACAAAGTGTGTCAGTCAACAATTTCGCCATGCTAAGAAAACTGCCACATCTGCTTCACTGAAGGAAAATAATTTATTGATGTTCTGTTTCAGCGACTTTTACCCTGGTTCTTATCAATGTCAGCATTGGTCCTTATACGCCACTCAACGTCATCAACCCGTTACAACACAATAATGTTCAATAATCAGTTCACTAGGTCTTAAGTGATGCTCAAAGTACGATTGAATATTAAATATAGAGTATAGTGAGTGAGTATGGTTTTACGCCGCATTTAGCAATATTCCAGCAATATCACAGCGGTGGACACCAGGAATGGGCTTCACATATTGTACCCACGTGTCAATCGAAACCGGGTCTTCTGCGTGACGAACGAACACTTTAACCATTAACCCCACCGCCCCTTTACTCAGTTTCAAATGACTTTCAATTTATGAGCGTTTGTCATATGTTGTTTCATAAGTATCGGGGGCGGTGGGGTAGCGTAGTGGTTAAAGCGTTCGTTCATCACGATGAAGACCCGGGTTCGATTCCCCACATGGGTACAATATGTGAAGCCCATTTCTGGTGTCTCCCGCCGTGATATAGCTGGAATATTGCTAAAAGCGGCGTAAAAATAAACTCACTCACTCACTCATAAGTACCGATGCAAAATCGAGACTCGTTTCCATGGCCGACAGAATACAAATTCGGGCTTACTTGGCGAAATACATAACCGACAAGTGACTATATTTTACTATATATTTTTTAACAGCATTCATTTTTACAAAATTTGTTGTTTATGTTAAAAATGGACATTTGGCATTCTTTCGGTGCCCTATGTTTCTCGCTTT